TTATGTGGAAAAGTGTATGCCTGCACATAAGTGCACCCATGTTATGCAATGCCATAGAAGAGGGTGTCGGGTTCCCTTGAACTAGAGTTATGGATGGTTGTTGGCCACCATGTGAGTGCTGGGAACTGAACCCAGGTCCTCTGCAAGAACAGCCAGTGCTCTTAGCGGCTGAGCCATCTCTCCAGTCTCCTTTTTTTTTTTCAAATCTTGAAGAATCACAGAGAAGGAAGACTTGATGAGCAGGTTAACAGGAGGAAGGGAGCAACACTATCAATGTCAGAACCTCATTCTTGAAGCAGCAATCATAAAAGCTACAGCTGTAGCAGTTGTGGCTCACCTTCTTGGCTGCCTGGCATCATATTACACCTGCATCATCTCACAGCTTGTCATGCAAACCTTATCCCTCCTTCACTAGTGAGGAAACTGAGGCACAGAATCTGAATGACTTACCTATGAACACCCAGCTAGGGAACTGTAGTGAGGACACAAATGTGAACGCACACTAAATAGCAGCCAAAGACAGGCTTCAGCAGGTATTCAGAGTCCTTAACTAGCTTTAGTTTATGCTAAAAACAAATTTTTATCTCTAATCCCATCATGCTAAATTAACTCCTTCCATCTTCCCCAGTAGCTGTAGTCCACAGGCTTCACTTCTTAACAAAATTAAAAACAGAAAGCACATATAATTTCACACCCTTACTGACATGTTATAAGAGCTGACAAATGCCAACACCACTTCGGCGATAAATGCACCAGAGGCTACAGGTGGAGATGTTAAAACCCAGGGAGGCAAGACAAGGCAGGACAGCAGGCTGGTGGCTGGGCTGGACTAGAACCAGAGGCTCATGGCCTTGATCATAGACCAAGGAACTCCCCCATGACTGCTGGCCACCTTAAAGGGTCTGAAGAGCTCTTAGGCATCATATCATCATTAAAAGAGCAGGGCAATCCTGTGGTGAAGGCCTTGAAGACACAGGAAGCATGTACCTGAGTAAACAGGGTATGTTTAAGGAGAGGGAAACTTGAAGTATGAATAGAAGCCTTATTCCTTCCTTCACTTCTCCCACTGCCTCCCTCCCTCCCTGTCTTACTCCAACCAAAGGAAGAAACAAACAAATGGAATTTTAATTTACAATGGGAAGAAAAAAGGCTTCCACTCTAACAATCCAGAGCCTGGCAAATCAGAGACACAGGGGGCCAGTTTGTCACCTACAGGCATGAGCACCCATCTTGTCCACCCACACTCCTCTCCCTCCCTCTTCCCTCTAGAGACAATGCTAAATCCAACTCCTTCCCTCTCCAGCCTCTATCATAACCCAACACCCCCACCCCACATGCAGGGACAATCCCTGGGAACCAGATCTATGAGGTTACCCTGTCCCCAATACCTGGAACCAGAGGGGCAGGGAACAGAGGGGGACACATAAGTGTAATTTCTCACTGCCAGGCTGTCCTAGTTTGTTTTTCATTGCTGTGACAAAACACTCCTGACCACTACCAACTTGGGGAGGAAAGGGTTTATTTATCTTACATCTCCCAGGTCACAGTTCATCAGGGAGCCCAAGGTAGGAACTCAGGGCAGGAACCTGGAGGCAGGAGCTGGAGCACAGGCCATGGAGGAACACTGCTTACTGGCTTGCTCTCCTGACCCCTGCTCAGCCTGCTTTCTTATGCAACACAGGCCCACCTGCCCAGGGGTGGCACCATCCACAGTGGGCTGGGCCCTCCCACATCACTCATCAAGAAGATGCCCCTCAGACATGGCCACAGGCCAGTCCAATAGAGGCAATTCCCCAACTGAGGCTCCCTCAACACCAAAGCCATCCAGCATATAGGCTTTGAAGGAAGCACATCAAAATACTTGTAAAAATACAGTGGAGCTCAGGCATGTCAGCAAACACTTTGTAATACCAGCTCTTGGGAGGCAGAGGCAGGAGGATCTCAAGTGAAAAATCAGCATGGGCTACAAAGTGAGATTCTGCCTCAATACAAGACCAGCCATAAAGAATATGCTCCCCATCCTGCCCACCCCCACTAGTTCCCCATTTAAGCTTCTCTAACGGAAGCCCTCAGGCAACACACCAAGCCCTAGTGCCTCCTGCCTACCCCTGTCAGGGCAGGGCACAAGGCAAGAAGACACTGACCTCCCCTTCACACCCCAGACTTCAAGGTGACCATCTCATCCATCTCTCCTTTCCAGGTTGGAATTAGCATTTTTATCTCTGTAACTGCCATCTCTCAACTATTTACAGAAGCTGCCAGGATAAAAAGAGGCAACACAAAAATAGTCCCTCTGCAGCTCTCAGGATGGGGGTGGGGGCAGGACAGAATCTTCTCATTTTCTTTCTTCCCTTTTCCAAAAGGGAAACATATGCCAGAATAGTTCATCTTTTTCACAGGACTCCCCAGCAGTTCACAGACCTCTTACAGGAGAAAATCACAGCCTTCCTCGACTCCCCAGAGCAGAACCTGTGTTACCAAACCTGGAAACAGGGGGCCAAGGTCCCAGAACCAGGCTGAGTAAAAGGTGACACCCTGTCCTGTTCCTGTCACTTCCTGGGCCGGACTCCAGCCTTCCAAAACACAAGTCTGTCAGAAAAAAAAAAAAAAAAAAAAAAAAAAAAAAACACCTCTAGACATAATGATGCATGCAGGTGGGACAGAGACAGGAAGATCAAAAAAATCAATGCCAGGCTGGGGGCTAAATAGTAAGACACTGTCTCCCAGAAAAGGGAAAAAAGAGAAGCCCTTATACTGGAAACAACACTGATATCCATCAGTAGATGAATAAACCAAATGTGGTCCACTCAGACCATGGAATATTATTCAGCCATAGAAAGGAATGAAAAAGGAGCACAAAAGCCACACAGTGGGTGAATCCTGAAAACATGATGCTGATGGGAGAAGCCAAACAGATTCTATTAAAGAAGATACAATTCACAGGAAACATTCACAATATACAAACATTAGAGACAGTTGATGTGTGGGTACCTGGGATGGATAGTAGGAACAGAGTGACTGTTTAGTAGGTACAGGGTTTCCTTTTGGAGTGATAACGATGCTCTGAAGCTAGACTGAGGTGATAGGTGCATAACATGAATGTCCCAAATGCCTCTTAGAGGAACTTCACTTTGATTTTTTTTTTCAGGCTGGGGATGGAGCCCAGTGATCAAGGGCTTGCCTAGCATGTGTTAAGGCACTGGGCTCCATTCCCAACAAGCAAAAAATAAAATATGAATTCCTATTTAACAGTCTGAAAAGAAGTCTATTTATTTATTTAGAGACAGGGTCTCATGTAGCTCAGACTGGCCTCCAACTTGCATTGTAGCTCATCAAGATCTTGAACTTCTAGCCTCCACCTCTCAAGTGCTGGGATTATATAAGCATGCACCACCATGCCTAGTTTATGCAGTGCAAGGGATGGATCAAACCAAGGGCTTCATGCAAAAGCACTTTGCCAACTGCGCCACATCCCCAGCCTGAGAAGTCAATTTCAAAAAAAAAATTTGTGGGGCACGGTGACACACGCCTTTAATCTCAGCACTCAGGAGGCAGAGGCAGGCAGATCTCTGTGAGTTCAAGGCCAGCCTGGTCTACACAGTGAGTTCCAGGCCAGCTGGGGCTACAGGGAGACCCTGTCTCAAAAAGAAAAAAATTTTCTAGTTTCCTCAACTTCCAAGGAAGAGGTACAGGTGTGATCAGAGGGCACTGTAGTCAGGAAGCCACCTCCATGAAGCCACCTTGGGTGCTCCTGCCCTCCAGTCCAAGGGGAAAGAGAATAAGGAAGAAGACATCTGAGAAAAGCACCATGCAAGGTCTCTGACTAGAAGAGAAATCTGAAACAGCATCTGTCCAAATCCCTAAGAGTGTCATTAGGAAATAAAACCCACAAGCTTCCTGAAGCTACCAGAAGACGGCATGCCAGGGAGAAGAGGGGCTGCGTAGCTACTCAGTCTCTCTAAGCCCTTCTATAAAATAAATGGTTTCATGGCAAATCAAGGATGACCTGTGGCCCAGGTTAAATTGTGAGCAGAAATACTTTGAACAGAAGTTTGCCATCCCCAACTTCTGGCCTTCCCTAGAGAGAGGAGTCTAGGCTGCTGTCCACATGCAAGTGGCCAGGTCCTTTGATTGGGTCAGGTCCCATCCCATCCCCTTCTCCACCTACTTCTATCCAGTCTCCACTCTTTTTTTTTTTTTTTTTTTTTTTGGTCTTTTTGAGTCTCTCTGGCCTGGAGCTCACAATGTAGGCCAGGCTGGCCTCAGATCTGCCTGCCTCTGCCTCCCAAGTGCTGGGACTACAGGCGTGCACTACACCCAGCTTTTCTAGGCTCCACTTTTAAGCCCACCCACAAGGCTCAGCACAAATGATACCTCTCTCACTTCCAGAATTCACTTCAACCACAAGAGATTTCTCCAGAAGTCTCATTGTAGCTACTCTCTCCATTTCCCCAGCACTTCCCCTGCATATCTCAACATATCACTACTGGTGTTTAGTAGGGCAGGAGCATTCTTATAGGACTTTGGCATCCACTAGCTCCTACCCACCAAAAGCTAGGAGTGTGAGCCTCATTTTTTCAAAAGCCCCACACTTTTCTAAATGCTTGCTGGGGAGGGTGAGACCACACCCCAAGGGGAACTACTGCATAGTTATTAGTGAATATATTTGGTTACAAGTCCAATAACCTGGAAGTAAAGACAAGCCTAATCCCTACAGCAGGACCTACTGAGATGTGTGTCCTTATACTCTGTTTAGTAAATAAGTCTGGGCTCCCTCAAGAAGGTCTTCTTTAAGAATCTTCGAACCTGGGGCCGGAGAGATGGCTCAGCGGTTAAGAACACTGGCTGTTCTTGCAGAAGACCGGGGTTTGAATGTCCTCGGTGGGCATTGTACTACATGAGTGCACTTGCACACAAGCAGGCAATACACTCATACATATAAAAAATAATAATAAATGAAATAAAAGAATCTTGAACCTGAGGGGCGTGATGACACATACCTTTGATTCCAGCACTCAGGAGCAGAAGTAGGTAAGTCTGGTCTACATAGCAAGTTCCAGGCCAGTTGGGCTACAGGGAGACCCCATCTCCAAAAAAAAGGAAAGCCTTGCAAAAGGCCCATACTCTAGAAAAGTGGTAGAACACAAATGTGCCCATATTAGCTGTGTAGTCCTGACCAAGTTAATTAACCTCTCTGAGCCTTTCTATAAAACAGGACTAAGTCCTACCAAGACCAAATGATTGTTAGGAATCTCACTCTCCTATTCTTGACTATGATGACAAAAATCCCTGCCATATAGGATTTTGGTGGGCATGAAATGAGACAATAATTGCACATATAGCACAGTATCTGGCACAGAGCAAGAGCTCAATAAATATTAGAGTGGAAATGTGGCTTAATAGCAGAGGGTGTGCTTAGCATGCTAGAGGCACTAGGTTCTATCCCTAGCACTGAAAGAAAAAATTATTATCCAAGGTAAGAGCTCACCAAATGGTAGCTTCTGTTCCTTATTACAAGAATAGGCTGCAGTCTTGGTTACAAATGCTTGCTTTCTATACAGAATGCGTAAAGAGCAGCCCTAGGTATGGAAGGAGGATCTGGAACGCAACCTAAAGCTGCGTTTGCACACTATACAGTTATTCTGAAAAGGCACGGTCTTGTGGGATGCCTTGGGAACAGTTGCAGCCCCTGCCTTTTCCAAACAAAGGCGCTATGGGGACACGGAGCTATCCTCCTCTCACTCCTCTGGGGGCAGAGCTGGGAGGAGTAGTAAATGGCATTCCTGCCCTAGGGCACCTGAAGTTTCTCCTCTAGTACAAGAGGCAACCAAACAGGCTGAGGAAGGCAAAAGTTCCATCTAGGGTGATGGAAGCAGCATCCCACCGCCAGATCAGGAGGCTGCTTTCTAGCTCCTCATAGCACTGAGATGTCCCCCACCCCCAGCTCCATCCCTCTGCAAGGTGCCACCTCTTCAGTTCCAAGTGCGAGCAGCCCGGGAGGAGGTTGGCAGAGCTGTGAAAACACCCCAATTCCCAAATTGAGCAGCCACAGGGAGGGGAGAATCCAGGCAAAGCTGCAGGCTGAGTCGGGTGACCCCGGGGCACCAAACCCCAGGGCTGAGCCGCCTGGGTGGGCGTCCGGAGTGGGCAAAAGGGGTTCGGTTAGGCACTCCTCCGCAAGCACCGCGAGCAGCAGCCTTGAGGGTGAATTTAGGTCAAAAGGATCAAACCGGCCTGTGAGATCCAGGCTCAGAGAAAGGATGAGGTGGTCAGCCGACAGACCCAGGTGCCCACAACTACAGACTGAGGGTCCCGCCAACTGGTGTCCCAGCCCCTAGGACCAGTCTGCCCGGCGGGTGGGATGCTAGAGTCCGCTGGCCCCGCTCTCCGCTCCGGCGCGCTCCGGTTCCCCACCTGTCAAGAGCAAGTGCTGGCCTAGGCCGCCTCCAGGATCCCGGACAGGCGCCCGGGTGACCTCGGTACCGAACTCCAGGACACCCCTCCTGCCACCTGGGCCGACCGCGGCCCAGCCTCACCGAGGCCCAGCGCACCGCGGACGCGAGGGAAGAGGATCCCGGGGCGGGGGGTAGGGTGGGGGGGACGCAGCCCTCCACGTGGCGGGGCGTGGGGCAGCGCGGCGCACTTGGGGACCCCGCGGTGCAAGGAGCTCGGGACAGTTCAGGGCTTTGTCTCCCATCCCCGCGGTGGTCCCTGGCCCGGAGAGGGAGGGGCGGGTGCACCCGCGGCGGCGGCGGCCTCGTCCCCCCAGCCCAGGCCGGGCTCAGGCCCGCTCACCTGGGCTCGGCTACCGCCTCCCGCGCTCTGCGCCCCCGGCTCGGCTGGGTGGCTCGGCGCCGGTCGGC